TAAAATAGTTGTTCTGATTCTGCCCACTTCACTCTCCATCAGTACACCCATGTTTCTGGTCTCAATCACTTGCTATCTATGTGACCCTGGACTCTTTCAGCCTCAGTTTCCTCATCTGTAAAATGGGGATAATTATAGCACCTACTTCCCAGGACAGTTGAGGATAAAATGAGATATTTGTTAAGTACTTTGAAAACCTTAAAGGGCCCTAAAAATGCTAGTTATTAATCATTCATTTGGTTTTTCCTGTATGACTTTTCAGTTGAAATACTTCAGCATCCCCAACCTACATCTTCACTCTACCACAGCCATCCAGGTGGACTCCTTTGCTTTTATAATCACTCAAAATTGTCCTACCTACACCATATATATCTCTGAAATCCTGATCAAAGCCTCCTAACCCTTCCATGTTTTCCTGAGTTTGACCCCCCTTAAACCTGCCCTCATCCTAGTGCTAAGGATGTTTTTCAATTAAATCAAGTAACTATTCAGTAAGACCTGAAATGCAGTTAGGAGACACCTTTTAGACTGGAGGACATAATTTATTTCAAAGCACCAATGACTGATGAAAGGTGACAGCATACAGACTCATTTTTTTTAAATTAAATTTTGTAATTTTTCACCACCGAAATCTGCCTTCTCCCTTCTCACAGTTCCCCCCCCACACACACATTGAGAAAGCAAACAAAACCCCTACTAAAAATATGTATAGTGAAGGGGAACAAATTCCTGCATTGGCCATGTCCAAAAAAGTATGCCTCAGTTTGCATGCTTAATCTTTCACCTCTTTTATCAGGAGGTCGTAGCATGTTTCATCATGAGCCCTCTGGCATTGTGGTTGATCCTTGTGCCGATTAGATTCCCAAGTCTTTTAGAGTTGTTTGCCTTTACAATATTGTTACCATAGTATAAATTGTGCTCCTGGTTCTGCTTGTTTCATATTGCATCAGGTCATACAAGTCTTCCCAGATTTTTATACTTCCCAGTCACTCCCATTAAGATCCTCCCTAGACCCCCTTCTCCCAGACTCCTCCTCCAGTCACCCCAAACTGCTGACCACTCCTAGATCCCTCCTTCAGTCATTCTGTAGATAAGGTCCATCTTGTCTCCATTAAGATGCTGAGATTCTTAAAGTCTAGCCAATGCTTAGATTCTTTAAGAGTCTAGCCAATATGGCTGATCTTTAATAAACCGTCATTGGCTGAAAGAAGGCTTGGGTCAAATTCATTTGGACAGGACCCATGTGCTGTGATTTTGGGGTCCAAGCACCCCTAAACCTCAACAATCCTTCTGGCTTACTTCCTGACTTGATTTTGTTAGAGCTGGCCAGACTCTGCATATTTCAGGAAGAATGTCTGGGCTGACTTTATGTCCTCTGGGTTCCTGCTGCAATTTTCTTAAAAGAATTCAATGTGTTATTCTTGGATAGCTCAGGGTGAGGACCTGTAAGCTTCCAGTGTTCCCCAAATGGTTTGATACAGGGCAGTTTTATCATGCTCTCCTGCTCTGAGCTCTGCAAGGTTCTGACTTGGGTTTGGTTTTGAGCACTAGGCCTATGGGCTTCTCCCTGGAGTTCCAGTAAACTGATGATGGACTGAGCCAGCTGGGATGTGCTGGATTTGGGACCTTTTCTTGACCTAGTGCAGAGTTTTTCCCCAAACTGAAATGCTCTACATGGATGTTCCTGCTTAGACGCTGTGCCCAGTGTCCGCAGACAGTCTTCCCTATGGTGGCCTACACCAAGAAAATGTGACTTTTTTTTTCATTTCCTGATCATAATTTGGTCTGGTGTATTTTCTACATTGCACTGAAGGAGTTGTGGAGTAGAACTAGGCTGTATTTCTTTCTGCTATTCAATTTGGACTCTGCCCCCTACCTTTTGACCTCTTAAGATGGTGAGTTCCTCCAAGATGATTGCACCAAGACCTAGAAAAGTGAAGAATCTTCTAAATGAGTTCTACAAATACTCAACAGTTTGGCCTAACCATTCATATGGGAAAAACTAGGTGGATGAGGGATACTGTTGTCTCAACTACAATAGAAAGTTGAACAATAACTTACAGAGTTCATTCATCAGTATATCTCTCTTGGAGAGACACTGCAAATAGAATACGACCTGGGTTCAGAATTAAACAAGGCAGCAAGCTTGACTGTCTTTGGGAAATCACAAAGTTCTTTCAGTGGTCCCAAGCCTAAACTTACTTCAGTTTCACTGCAAACTCTAGTCATTTTTCAACTTCCTGACCACAATCTAGGCTATCACCCCTTCCTGGACTCTCCTTCCTTCAGAAGTTTGACTGAATTAACACCTGAATCCCTTACTCCCAGATCCTGTCAATGCTCATACACTGCCTAACCTCAGTCCAAAGCATTCTGTGTTGAATATTTCTGAAGTTAGACAAGTTAGGTGCTGAATGGCGATACTACAGATTTATGTCATTCCAACTCAAATAGACCCTCAATGCTACAGTGCAATCCTCACATTCTTCCATAATCAACTATTGTGCTTCCCACAAAGGTTATTTGGAACCTTTTCTTTTCACATTCAGCCTCCCTCACACTCCCTCTCCACCAGCCTAAGCAGTGGTGACCACCTCATTATTTTACTTAGAAAAGGACATCACTACCCAGAAACCCTGACATCACCAAAAGATCAAATAAGATATTTGTAAAGAGCTTATTAGCCCAGTGTTTAGCAGGTGGTAGGAGTTCAAAATAGGGGAAGCTAGGTGGCACAGTGAATACAATGCCAGACCTGGAGTCAGGAAGACTCATCTTCCAGAGTTCAAATCTGGCCTCAGGCACTGTGTGACCCTGGGCTAGTGACTTAACACTGTTTCCTCATCTGTAAAATGAGCTGAAGAAGGAAATGACAACCACTCCAGGATCTTTGCCAAGAAAACCTCAAACAGGGTCAGGAAGAGTCAGACATAATTGAAACTGAACACGGAACTTGACAGATGCTCCTTCTCTCCCTCCTTCCTCTCTATTCATTCCCCATTCTCTCCTTTGCTTGTCTGAGGAAATGTCCCTTCTTGACAAAGTCCATCTTTCCCCTTAATCTCTTGATTCCACCACTTCTGGCCACCCGTGCCCATAATCATCCACCCCTCTAATCCCAGTAGGTCGGCTCTTGCCCTAAGGCTTACAAACATGCCCAGGTTTCCCTCATGCTTATAAATCCTTCACTTGACCATATCACTCCTTCACAAGTTATCCTGCCATCTTTCTTTTTCAAAGCCAATTTCTCAGAAAAAGCTATTTATGCTTGTTGCCTCCATTTTCTCGTCTGCTACTTCAAAATTCCTTCCCATTTGGTTTCTGACCCCACCACTCAATTCAAACTGCTCTCTCCAGGGTTATTAATGAGCAATTGCCAAGTCTGACAGGAAGTCCTAGTCTCAGTTCTCATCCTTCTTGACCTTTTTAGATTCTAAGTTGTCTTGAAATTGTTCTCGATACCTATTGGGCTGTCTACCCACTAAGTGTGGGCGTCCTTCAAAGCTGTTCTAGGTCCTCTATTCTGTCTATATATTCTTTGGGGAATCTTACTAACTTCTCCTGGGTTCGATTATGTCTCTATGCAAATCAATCATGTATTACATACCTGTTATGTACCAGGTACCTATTAAGTGAGAGGTATTAAATTTACAGACATAAATTGCAGTCCCTCTCCCCATCACTTTCCATATCCAGTAACTGGCCAAATTTCATCAATTCTCCCTCCACAGGACCTCATATCTGTTCTTATCTCTACACTAATGAGGCAACCAATTTAGGTCACGATACTATCATTTCTTGCCTAGATTACTGCAACAGACTCCTATTTCAAATCCAAGTGCCCAGTTTCTCTCCTCTTCCAATGACTTGACAAGGGGACCAAAATAATCTTCCTAAAACACAGATCTGATGTATCTCCTACTCAAAAATCTTCAGTTGTTTCTAAATGCTTCTACAGTAAAATACTAACTCCTCAGGTTAGCATTTTTAGCTCTTCACAGTCTGGTTCCAGTCTATCTCTTCAGATGGCCACTACCTTTCAAGATCTCCATGTTCTGGCCTAAACTGCCACTGCCCTAGGCACTCTATCTCATGCTGACAATGTCTCTGTATAAGCCACTTCCTCTTCACCTTCATAGAACCCCTAGCTCAACACAGGGGTCACAGCAGGCACTTAATTAATGCTTGTTGGATAGAACTAAATAATGTCAATGAAGACAATACCAAAAGGAAATAATTCAGATTACATGCCACAAGATCACTAACTCATTTTAGAGGACAGATGATGAAATACTTTCCCTTCTTATGTGGGGATAGGAAACAGGCCACTGATAGTGATAGTAGGCAATACTAACAGAAAAAATTGTATTTTTTTGTTTTGTTCAACTGTTTTTCTTTATTATGAGAGGTCTGAGGGTGAGGTAAGGTAAACCTGGCAAGTAGCAAAATCACAGGCACATGGTCAGTTTGTTGTGCTTTTTTGCTTAATTCCTAGTTAACAAAGAATCTGTTGAGAAGTGATGGGAGGTGACAGTGATGTGATAAAACAAAAGGAAAATAATAGTTGGCTAAGTGTTTTACTATTTATGTACTTGTGGAATGAGAGAAATCTACTAATATTCGATGGACTTAAATACTCAGGATTTTCTCAGAGTATCAGAGTATCAAAATTATTTTAATTTCTTAATCTTTAATCATAAATTGACACTCACTTGTCAGTAGGAACTTGTAAGTGATAATGGGTGACTATATTATTTGACAGTGTCTCCTATTTTAAAGGGGAGATGTGAAAATCTCTTAAAACATGGCTCTAATGTATTTTTTTTAAGACAACTGGCTAAAGAAGTGTGAGCAAACAAGGCTCAAAATATTAAGAATCTCCACTGTTTCTTTGTAGGGTTATACTACAAAAGGATACATATAAGATGTATGGTGCCAATTAAATAAAACAGTACATATAACAAAAAGTTAAAAACATGGCATGAAGAGACAGCACAGAGTAACATATAAAACCTAATTTTATTCATTTAGCTGTAACAAAGACAAAAGGATTCTCATCTGCAGTATTTTAAGGAACTCATCCCAGCCTCTCTAAATCTTCAGAGGCACCTAAGAGGGGATAGCTTTTGAGGCCAATTTGTCACAACAGACTGGAATTATAAAATTCATTTTTCAGACTAAAGTGAACTGTGAAAAAGCAAAAGTTTGTCAGAAGCTCCCAGCTTATGTTAATGGAGATTGGTGGGACATGGTAGAATAGTTAATTAGGCTACTCAGAAGCACAAATAAGCTAATCAGGCTTTGATATTCCCTATGGGCAGTTACCTTATTGATCCAGAGTATAAAAGAGCAGAGGCAAGCCTCTGAGACCTCTTAATCTCCTCTTGTCAAGGAGCAAGTGCTGCTACACACATATGCGCACACACACATACATGTATGTGTACCTGCATATACATGTGTGATGTACATATATATGTACATATATGGCATATTCTTTGCACATCCTCCCACCTCCTATTCTTTTCCATATCCCTGTACCATGTGGGCCTCCTGCCTTACAAAAGATGAATACTGTGAGAGAAGGATTTATAGGCCTAGATGACTGCAACTGGGCATGGGATTCTTGAGTCAATAAGCTACAAATATCCTCTTGGGTGAATTCAACCACTTCTGTCAATAAAGACTGTAGGCTTTTGCTGGTGGTGATTCATATGGCCTCAGTATAAGTCTGTCTGAAGAAACAACTGGTTTAGGTCATTTTTGCAGAGGGGAAAAAGATGTTTCTTCTCCTTCCTCTGCACTGTGGAAAGATAGAAAGTTCCCTCCTTCAGTAAAATGTGGAACCTGAAAAACAAGAAGTTGGCAGTTTTTAAAACACAGCTAATTTATAGTTATCTTTTAGTGAGAAAAATCAGTGTTGGCATGGCCATTTTAAACACAAAGTAATTCCTTGTTTATTTTAATAGCACATTTTAAAAATACCCACTTAAAAGTTCTGTACAATTCTGGGAATTTTCAACGTCAGTCACCAATTTTAAGATGTTCAGTTTTTACTAACACAATGTCTCCTGTTCTCTGGCATGAAGAAAACAGAAAAGCCGACAATTTTCTCATTAGAAAGCTCTGTGATGATATCATAGTTACTTTGTCATTATGCAGTCTCTTCAGAATTCTAACCAGAGCATCACAGGAACATCTCACTTAGGTAACAAGCAGGTTATGTTCTGTGATCCTGGCAAATGAAAGACATCAAGGTTCTCTCGAAATTCTTTTCTCACTTTCTGAATGACTGGTCTGAAGAAATAAATCTAATGAAATCTAAAAATGTGCTTCCCTGATAAGAAAACTTGAAATTCCCACAATTATACCCACTGAGTCATCTGAATGCTATAAAGTCTGACTAGAAATAAGAAAACAATAAATTATGATGTGAAATCTTCTTGTTTTAAGTGGGAGTCAAAAGCTGATCTAAGAACAACACAGAAAACCTGGGTGGAGGCTGGATGATGGTCTACCTTTAGAACAGAGGTTGGAGGAAGGGGGGTGGAGAAGTGGGAGAGTAGATATCTTAAAAGAAGTGAATTCTGAAGAGAGAGAGAGAGAGAGAATAAGAATATGGGAGGAAGAGAAACAGGGAACAGAACCTCAGGGTTCACTTATTCCAAAACTCCCTCTATGACATCTGAGACAAGTGGGCATGCTGCCTCCAATGATGGGCAACTTACTACCTCTTGAGGTGGCTCATTCCTCTTTTTGAAAGTTCTAATTGTGAGCTCAAGGACAAATTTCCCCCCAAATTCCCATGAAATTAGTGTCAACAATCACAAACAGGTATTTATCAGTCAGTGGTCAGAAAACTGGCAGATAAACGTAAATGTAGAGGAACATACCCAAGGGAACACAGTCTAGTGGCAGATAAACGTAAATGTAGAGGAATGTACCCAAGGGAACACAGTCTAAACCTACTCCAATTACTCAATGAATCTATAATCTCAGTGTGGAGAGAGGCCCCACACTTACAACGTCATGGTTCTTTTAAGCTCAGGTCTTGTATTTAGTGCTGGAAAGATGAGAAAACAAAATCATCTCCCTACCCCACCCCATACACATAACTCTTTATCCCTAAGGAATCAACAGACTAAGGAGATATGACATATACTTAAGGATTTAGGTTCATCCAAGTCTTCACATAAACCCTCTACAGGATGGTCACCCAATGTGGACCCCTTTTGATGTTGTGGGGAGACAAAGGAACCCATGGATTATCCATCTCTTCCTTGCTCTCATCAGAAGACTAGCCCACCTCCTTTTCTGGTCACACATCTGGTGATAAACTTTACACAGCTGCTTCCACACAATTCTTCAATGATATTAAGTTGCAACCTACTCAAACTTACCCTGTACCTTCCCCACTGCCCTGTGGGTGATCTAAAACTTTAACTCTTCAGAACTATGACATTCCAAGACTCAGGCACTAAGGATAACTGGAAGAATACTGATGATAATAAGACAGTCCTTTGTTTCAGAGAAAAGCATGGGCTCATTAAAAGCACTGCAATTTCCCAAAGGCAATCCAGCCTATTCTCTTCCTCCTATTCAATTCTGGGCCCAGCTCTTTCTTATCTGAAGTATCTGTCCAAGAGGCATGTACAAAGGACCAATTAATTCTCTGGGATATCCATCCAAATAATTGTGATCTTAAGATGCACAGACAGAGGCACAGTGACTCGATCTGCAGAGGTTCTGGTCCTTCTCTACTCTGCCCTAGCCAGATTACATCTGGAATACGGGGGGTCAGTTCAACAGACAGATTTAGGAAGGACATTAATAAGCTGAAGTGTCCAAGGTAAGGCAAGCAGATTGTTGGACAGCCTCTAATTCAAACACAGGGATATTTAGCATGAAGAGAAGCCTTAGAGAGGACATGACAGCTGTTCTGAGGTATCTAAAGACTGTCATGTAGAAGTAAGATCAGTCTTGCTTTGCTTGGTTCTAGAGAATAACAGCACTAGGAGCAACAGGACCAAAAAGTACAGTGGCAAATTTAATCCTGATATAAGGAAAAACTTCTTACAATGAGAGCTACTCAAATGAGGAAGAGGCTGCCTACAGAATTAGTGACTATTTCTTCATGGAGGTCTTTAAACAAAAGTTGGATGGCTATGGTGTAGAAGGGATCTTCATTCAGATATGGGTAGGATTAGACAGAATTCTTTTCCAAGACTGACATTTTGTGAATATCAATGTAATCAAGCACCACAATGCAATTAAGAATGCTAAAAAACAATCAAACCAACATTTGTTAAGTACCTATTGTATACCAGGCACTCTGCTAGAGCTTGGAAAGGAAGACAAAAAATTTAGCAGTCCCCCTCCCTCAAGTCAATTACATTCTTTTGGGGGAGACAACATGTACTTAAATAATTAGTGGAGACAAACACAGATAATGCATGTTTTTCCAGTTTATTAACACAACTGACATTGCATAGGTTTGCAAAGTGCCTTTCTCACAACAACCCTGTGATTGTTACAAGTTTTATTTTCCCCAATTAGCAGTCAAGGAAACAGGCTCTGAGAGATAAAATGACTCGATTACAGTAAGTGTCCAAGGCAGGAATTTGAACCCAGATTTCCAGATTCCAAGTCCAATAATTTTTTTTTACTATATTATTTTGTGGACCTGGGTTCTCATAATGGGTTATGCCAGGAGGGATATGAGCTGTGGCAATTCCTATAGCAATCTAAAAAGGACATGAATGAGAGCCTGGCAAAAGACCCTTAGGGTCACCCAATCTTTTAAGAATCACCCTACCCTAGAGGTTTCAGGCAGGAACACATCCAGAAGACAAATTTTTTGACCATAACAGTTCAAAAAAATTTTTTTATTAAGGTACAAAAGGGTTATGGATTGTATTGATCTAATTAGAATACTCATAGTGATGAACTCACAGATATTGAAAACATTCAAGTATTACTCAGTGTCAGTCTCCAGAATTTCTAATATTTTGACCACTGCACCACCTAGCTGCCCTTCCTTGTACAATTAGAGAGGGTTTTATCTCCTAACAAACTCTCCTAGAAGCTAGCGAGTGTGCTATCTGTGGTCCACTAACAACGTCCTCAGGATGCAGATAGGTTCCACGAATCAATCAAGCAATCCATCCTTAATGTCAGAAAGGGGTGATTACTAGCCCCTTAATACATAAGTACTAGCCTACTCTTCTTGATGTAACCAATCATGTTGTCCTCACCCCCATCATGCTGTGCCTATCCTGTAACTAATTGCATTGTCTTCCCAACCTACCCAACTCTGTCCTTCCCAAAACTACATTAGGGCCAGTGAACCCTATCTCTGGGTCTTTTGGTCATTGAAGAGAGGCCACTGACCCAATTTATTGGTTACTGCTAGCTAACAAACTGATCATGCTCAGGCCACTATCTCTCAGTTTACCTTAATTTTCAAATGTAACACCTAGCACAGTTCTCTGCACAGAGCAGATACCTAATGTTTGCTGAGTAAGTAACGTGCAAATGAGTATCTTAAACAGATCATGAAAAGTAAAATTTAGCATTTCATATTATTAATGAAGTTTCATATTCAAGGCCAAGTAAGAAAACAAACCACTCACTCACCAATCTCAGCATAAGTAATCTTCAATGATCAACATCTGCATCCTCAAACTGTCCAGCAACAGTTGGTGTGGTATCTATCTCCATCCCATCTTAGAAAAGAAGTAGAGAGCCAAGAGTAAGAAAAAATTCTTTTAAACCGTTTGGTGAATATTCAGAAAAAAGAAGCAGTGCTCACAAAGTGCCAATGTGGCCTCATGAGGAACAGGTCAAGACAGACTAACCTTATTTCCTTTACTGACAAGGTTACTATATTATTAGGTCAAAGGAATTGCCATAGATATAGGTGAACTAAATTTAACAAATATTTGGCAAAACATCTCATACTATTTTTGTGAGAAAGATGTGGAATACATCAATGGTCTGCAAAGTGGAGTGCGTGATGATATACTGGGGTAGAAGAAAACATAACTATAATATAACCACAATGGAAGGGGGAATGACAGTGGCACTTTCATTCTGTATTTCAATGCACTGCAGTTTACATGGGCCCAATTCAGTGCATTCACAAGTATTTTCTCTGACCCTTTAAAATGTTTATTTTTTATAAAATACATAATATTTAGTATAGTGGTAACAAGTATGCAATTTAAAAATAAATATACATATATTAGGAGAGTATTTGTTCAACTTTTTTTTACTGGAGCATATAAAACCACTCTTAAGTTCTTCCTAGACTCTTCCCAGGCTTCCTAGCTTCCTTCAAAACTTAACTCAAATCCCACCTTTTCCAGGAAGCTTTTTCTGATTCCCTGGCTACTAGTGACTTCCTCTAGAAGATTAATTCTGGCCTGCTCAGAATTCTTACCCAGAAATTGAAGTAGGAGAATTTAATGTCACTTTTGCAAGGTCAAAGAGTCAGTAGTGGGAAAACCTTGGTCTCCTGACCTCTAGCAGTTTCAGCATTAGAATTATACAGAAGAAAACTCAATACAACTTTCACTCCCTATGTGCAACCACCACACTTTGGTCAAAGTTTAAACTGTCAGCTTTGTAGAATGCATCCAAAAGGACATATATGACATGCACAATAAGCAGAGTGGTACAGTTAATATTGGATTTGAAGTCCCAAGGCCTGGAATCAAATCCTGACTGAAGTGGTGATTTACCACTTATGTGATTTTGGGCAAGTCAATTTCCCCTCACTGGGCCTCAGTTTACTCATCCCTAAGATGAGGAGATTGGAATAGTTGGTCTTCTAAGGCCCCTGCCAGTTCTAAACTATGAACCCATGAAGAAAAGACCGAATGTCTGATATTATTGTTCAGGCCTAAGATAAAAGTTTTGGAAAAGACTCACCTTCATAATCCCTAATTGAGTCTTCTGTCCTTACTCCTGCCATGTTATATTGGCTGCTCACAGACTGAGCAAGCATCCCTTCCAATCGCTCCAGAGTGGCTTGTCCTTCTGCAGTTAAATGAGACAATCCTTCTTCATAGGTGTAAAATGTAGGAATATCCCCCTGTCCTTGTTCTGAATGTACAAATTTTTAAAAAATCAAATAAGATAACGTAAAGTACTTTGCAAATCTTACAGCATTATGTAAATGCTAGCTATTATTGTTTCAAGTTATAGCATAACACTTAGAACAAAAAAAAATCCATGTTAACATGTTTGCTGCTAAATAGAAAATACAGTTAAAGTCTGGCTCCTAGTGGGGTTCAGAGCTCAAGCAGGAGGGCACTGAAGAAATAAATACAATAGGCATATATATATCCCAGTATGCAGTAATCTTTCCCAAAAGGACCAAAAAGCTTGAGAGAGTGAAGAATGTTATGTGAACAAAAGAAAATACTTTACACAAGTGGTAGGTAAATGTTTAGCCATGAGGGGCAAAATCCCCAGAAGAGGGGTTTGTGTCAGATATGACAATATGTAAAGGAAAGGAAGCATTAACATACACGGACATAAATTATTTGTGTGCACACAAGACCAATCAGGAACGGACAGTTATTTTAGGATGCTGACTGTCCTAGAATAGGGAATGTCTCCTGGTCAAGGTCTATCCTACAGAAATGACTACGAAGAGTTTTTGGAAAAGTGGAAATGATTTGTTAAAGTGGGTAAGAAACACGACTCAGTCTTGGGAGGAGGTGCTAAGACATCATCCCAGGTTCCTTTTTCATTCTACTGATGCTTTTTTTTTTACATGCTCTGGACTAAGTACATGATATTTCGCATGTGTCTGTTTATTCAAAAGATAAAAGAAATGGACTGTAACATTTGTCTTTTCGATATGTAGAAAAATAATACAAATACCCACACTGTACCACATAACACACATACCCATAAAAAATTATGAACCCCTCCACAATAGTTAGGTTGAATCAAAATTGAAATAAACTGAAGCACAAAATTTCACTAACCATGTGCTTCCACATCATATTCTTCTCCATCATAATCATCTGAATCTTCATCCTCAGGATCTGGATGTAAAGCTTGACATTCACACATTGCAGCAAACAATGCTTCCACTGAACAATAAATAAACCATCTTTTCTTTAGTCAACAAGAAAAATGAACCTAATGAGATTATTATGAATACAGATTTAGAGCTGGAAGGGACTTTAGAATTTATCTCCTCTCATCTTACGAATAAGTTGGGGGACTGGAAAGGCTGTGAATGGGTCCAACTGCTTTTGAAACAATTGGGAATTATGTAAGAAAAGTCACCAAACTGTTCATACCTTCTGATTCAGTCCTCCCACTGCTGGATAGCTGTTACCTGCTCTAACATCCCCTCTCTCCTCCCCAAAAAAAGGTCAGTGACAGAAAAGAAAGACCCACTGTATAGGACAAAATACTGTCCTGCAAAATATTCACAGCAATATTCTTTGGGGAAGCAAAACACTAGAAACAAAATGTATCACCAATGACTGATTTATGGCTGACAAAATTGTGGTACATAAACATGTAATGAAATACTATTGTGTTACAGGAAACTGATGAACTGTAATGAATAATCTGTCCTGAAAAAGTGGTAAGGAAACAAACCTTCCTCTTCTCAGAAGAAAAGTGAGCACTGTGGATGTGGAATGTGGTATATACACTGTTAGACTACTCAATTATTAGCTTTTTTCTTTTGTTACAAGGAAGGGTTCAATGAGTAGACAATACCAGAATTGAGTATGAAATAACTAAAGGCAACAATAAAACTTTTTGTAATAGAGCACTGGGAAAAAACGACCAGAACTGTCTATTTCTCTGATACGCTGAACAACTGGTAATTAAAGATATTTTCTAAAAACAAATCTCCCTCAGTGTTCACTGATCACAGGATTTAGAACTTCATGATTTTACAAATCATTTAGCACAATTCTACCTCTTCATCTGACAGATGACTAGCTCAAGGTCAACAGTAAAAGCAACAGAGCCAAATATTCAACCCCCAGTCTTGACTCCAAATCTAGCGTTTTTCCCACAACATGCCCCAAACCTGTATTACTATGTAATCAAAGATACTTGAATTGAGAATAAGCACACATGGAGGCTATAAGTTTTTACTTGTTGAAAGAAAACCAGTGAACAGGAGAATACTCACATGCTGACTTATCACTTGGTACAAATCTGAACTCAGCAATTGGTTCAATATCTTCATCACTGTCCTCATCTTCTTCCCCTTCTGCCACTGGAGTTTCTTTTAATTCTTTTGGTTCTTCCTCTAAGAGTAATGGGGGGCAAATTTTTTACATTATAGTGTCCTGTTTTTATTGGATTACTGAAACTATCCCAAAGGAAATTTAATGAGATGTTCAAATAGTATAATTCTAATTTTATTAAATCAACTCTGAAACGGTTTTGGGTCAAAATGTGAAAACTGCTTGGCCACAGTTTTAAGTTGCCATTTGTTTGTACTATGTTCTAATATCTTTCTCAGTGGACACACAGTTCTGTCACTGCTTCAATAGCTAAAATGTGGTCAATAAACACGATGTGATAAAGGTAAACTATGGGACAGAAGGCCATGGAGAACTGATGGAAAAAGAGGGCCATGAAGAATCATAGGAAAAGGAAATATACCACAAAGTGGCTGCCTAATTTCTCAAAAAGACTAGAATATAACAAGCTAATTAGAAAGACTACAGAAATAACACCATTAGAGACACAAGGACAGCACTGCCACTTCCCAATAATATACTACAAAAAAAAATCAAGTCTACATATTTTTGCCTCAAGAAATAAATCATAATCACTTCAGCTTCCAACAGGTTGATATAAGCAATCACTTGATCTTTTAGAAGGGCTTTTTAAAAAGATTATACAGATATACTAACAACACATGTTTAAAGTTGAATAAAACTCCACATTCCTATTCAAGATGTCAGAGAAAGATCCTGAAAGTGCTGCAGAAATTATGTCCAAGAAGCCTAGCCGATGCAAAAAATCAGCATTAGGCACAGAGAAGGGAGGGGAAAAGATATAACAAAGTACTTCAAAATGCTATTTTAAGTTATTCCTCCAATGTGGATGAAATGCTGTAGGGGTTATATGGTTAATCTTAACAATCCACAAAGGGAGAGGTGACTTTCACTTAAAGGGTCAGAAACGTTGGGGAAAGGTAAAAATCAGGTAATGTTTTTAAACAAAGGTATAAATCTTTTACCAACTGACCAAAGAAAATGGCAGTGGTGTCAAGACTTACAACAGAGCAAGAAGATGCTTGCTGGTAGGTTTAGGGAAACAAAATTGTTAAGGAATTCTAACTTGGCAACCCAACACATTTCTATCTCTAAAAGCTGGAAAGTTTTCTTCCACGATAACTGCTCTAGAGAATAATTTTTGTAAAATTTTTGTTTCCTAACAAATACTGAAAAAAATTCAAGAAGCTCTTCCATTATTACACTCTGTGTGTGTATGTGTGTCCTACACCACAATCAAATTCAGTGTTCCCTGAATATACCTTGCACTTCCCATGCCCCCCAGCATCAGCTACCATCATTCTGACATTCCATCCAACTGTAATGCTGTCATCTCCCAAGCATCTTTTTTTTTTTTTGGGGGGGTGAAGCAATCGCAGTTAATTGACTTGCCCAGGGTCACACAGCTAGTGAGCATCATGTGTCTGAGGCTGCACTTGAACTCAGCTCCTCCTGATTCTAGGGCCAGTGCTCTATCCACTGTGCCATCTAGCTGCCCCTGCCAAACATCTTTCAATGCTGGGTGCCAAAGCCACCTCCTTAGTTTTCTTCCCTGATCCTTCAGGCCAAAACAATCTCTCTCCTCTGAAGTTCTACTATCATGTAGGCTCTTACAGCGCCTACAACATACTATCTTCTCGGAACTATAAAGGTCCTTTTCAGCCCTGTTATTCTAAGCTTCCATAATTACTTGTACTTATATTTCTCTTATGTCCTGCAATAGATGAAACTAGAGATTATTTTATTGCTATTTGAATCCCAATAGCTTCTAAAGCATTATGTTTTACATAATACAGATGCTTTATTTGTTGAATGAACACTAACATTAAACCAAATGCAGTATTCAACAATCCTCAACCAAACACAGCTGAAGAATGAAATGGAATTTTGGTTTTGTGCCTAAGGTCCTACACTTGGGTAGTTACAGCCATATTTTTTCATTCAGTACCCCCAATCTTTGGAGGATCTACAACAGTCATAATTTAGGATCCCATAACAAATAAATAAATTACATTAGTGTTATGAATGAATTTTAAATAATTATTTAGAAATTCAGAAGAAATTAACTGAATTCAATTTTAAAATGGCAACTGGAAACAAGAGACATCCATATAGATATCGTCAAATACTTCCTCTAGTGAAACTAGAACCTAACTAGAAACTGGAACCTAAAAGGGAAAATTGATTTAGCAGACATAATAATTGTTGAACTAATCCTAACCTCAATAAAAATTCTTCCTTAATCACCAGGAAAAAAAGGGCTCTGACCCAAATCTTTAAGTATGCCTAATTAGCACTTCTAAAAAAAGCAGGGCAAAGCTGAACAGAAGAGACAAAGAGTCATTCTCTAATTAAAGAATTCTAAGTGATAAGTACATATAAAACAAAGTGCAAAGAAAGACAAGGAATGTAACAATCACTGTTCATAAATAATGTGCTAAACTGTAAAATTCCCATTGCACATGATGAAATACAATTCAAGCCCATGACAAAGAACTCCAAAGGGACTTCCAACTTCTGTTGTATAGACATTTAACTAAATGGAAAAGAGCATTAAAAATAAGTGGGGCAACAACTATTAATTCCAGAGTCTTAGAAACGTTTGTTTGTTTGTTTACACTGAGGATTTCAAAGCAATTTCATTTGAAGAAGCTCTGACCTAAATTCTTTGTCCTAAAATCCAAATTAAAAGCCCTCAGAAGAATGCTACCACCTTTCAGTAACATTAGATTATCTTTCATAATATAATTTTGCTAGAAAAGGGGGATAAGATAAGTTATACTGTACCTCCAAATCGAGCATTGACCATAACATACAAGTGCTCTTGCGGATAGGCATTTAGGTCCCTGGAGACAGCATGTAAACTAATGGTAGGATAGTCCAGTGAAAATCCTATTCCAGAGCCATCTAACCAGGACAGGCGGCTGAAAAATATAGTTAAGCAAGTTAGTTATAGAACTGATTTAAGTTTATTAAAGTGTTTTGTTTTTATGTGAATATCACACACACATACCTTCAAAACAATTACTTAAAAATGAAATTTGGCAGCAGGTATATAATTATTTGTGGCCTGCTTTTCTTTGAAACCTATTCCTTTCCCCAGTTTTGTTTCTGACGTAAGTTAAAACATAAAATTCTACATTTATAGGTCATATTAATGCTAGTACTTAAATAGCATGACACCAAAAAATTTATAACTAGCAGAAAAATTATTGTGCAAGGTTCAGAGTATTTTTAAAAAAATTTTCTCATTGAATAATGCTTCAATTTCACCATTCTTTTTTCTCACAACTAAGTCCTTGCCATGCCTTTTCCCCTTTCCCAAAAAGGGTGTGATAAAGGCCAGTTTAGCTAAATAGCCCTGGGAGGAAAAAATATTTTTTTTTGCATAATATGACTGTATGTACCAATTAGTATAAAGTAATTTTTGTTGGACAATTATAAATAAGACTTCTAATTTAATGCATCATATTAAGAATCTGCCCCAATATCATTTGCAAATAAACAGCTCATTTTAAGACTGAATCATAAAAATATTTGTACCTTTTCTTTTTCTCAAGACTCTAATTGTATGTTCATATTTAATATACAGACAGTTCTCATTTTACATAAATTCTCATCATACAAATTCGACTTCCTGACAGGCAGTGGCTGGGCTCAGCTCTGGCTCCCTGGCTCCTAGCAGGTGGTAGCAGCAGCAGCACAGGTAAAGCTCCCTGAAAGTGTACCACTCTGTGGACAGGGTGGGGCCAGACCCCTAGAAGAGGAGGAGTTCTGGGCAATGGTCCACTTATGTTGTGCATGAACTACTAACGTAAAAACATAACACTAGTAAGAATTCACATATATAGGCACACTTCAGTTCATAACATGGTTTCTTCATAACAACCGTGAGGTATATACTGTGGAAGCAATCTCCTCCTCTCTTCTCCCTACCATTTGCATTATAAGTGAAGAAACAGAGGTTCAGAAAGATTAAATCACTTGGGCACAGTACTTCAATAAGAAAAAACAACCTTAGACTTGGAATCAGGTTTTCTAGCTTCTCTTTTAGTGTCCTATCACATCTTGCTAAGCGTGTTGCAGATTATACATTATACATTCCACCAGTGGTAAGCAACCTAAGGTGTGTTAGGAATGAATCACGAACCAATGCTGGCCCAGGGACAGATTACTGTGGTCACCACTCCCTTCCATCAGCTCCTTTTAGCACTGCCACTGAGACACCACAGAAGGAAAGGATCAGAAGCCTGAGATACAGAACAAGAACTCAGGGGATGTTTTGGGCCAAATAAAGGTCAGAAGATGACATCAACTCCTTGGAGGTGCTAGGGGATCATTGAAGCTGTAGGCCCAAGAGTAGCTGGGACTTTCAAAGGACAAGAGTGGATAAAGAGAGAGAAAAGTGGGGCAGCTAGGTGGCGCAGTGGATAGAGTGCCGGCCCTGAAATCAGGAGGACCTGAGTTCAAATCCGGCCTCAGACCAAACACTTGACACTCAGACCAAACACAAGTGACCCTGGGCAAGTCACTTAACTCCAATTGCCTAAAAACCAAAAAACAAACAAACAAAAAAAAAGAGAGGAAAAAGGACTGAATTAGAATAAATCATGTGATACATTTGTATTAGGAAAACTTAGAAGAGGCAAGCCATCAAGACAAAGAACAAATAGTCTGAAAAGGAGAAAGACCAGACCCTGGTAGGCAAGGCAGTCTTAGGAGAACTTTTCGACTGAAAAGGAATTCAACAGTAGATGGACAGCAACCGAAAGGAAAGAGGTAGGAATGAAATGCAGCAGAAAAGAGATTGGAAGGAAGGAAGAGTATATAGTATAGGGCATGTACATGGTGAAGGGGTGGGTACAATCTGAGGATAGCTATAGCCAAAAAATTTGACACACTTTGACCAACCTGGTGATGGGCCTCTTCTGAGCTAGTGTTCAGACAACAAAGTCCACTGCTGGACCAGTACCAGAAATTTTTCTAGCTTAGTAGAATATGCCAAGGCTTGTGCTCTACTAGTTTAGCTTTTGCAAACCCAGGGCTTGTTTCATGTCATGATGAGGCCAGAAAGGAGAATTTTATTGGAGGCAAAGGATACTACAGTATCATGTCTGCCCTCATCAGAAAATCACCTCTTCACAGTTAATGAAAAACAGGCTCCATCAAATTTTGTTTTGTAGCTTTAATGGGAAACTCCAGATGAGAAAGGGATCAATTCTATTTAGGTGACACATGAAGCTAAACCAGAGAAACCTCAAAAGATCAACTGCAATTATTTTACTAGAATAACAATACTCCAATAGATTTGATGATCTCACCAATTTGGAAGTTCCCTCCAAAGATGCCAATCACAACTCATCCTTACCTGCCCATCTTTTGTCCATGTCCTCTCATAAATTCACTACAGTAAGTCCAACCAATGTCCTAGATCCTTTCCTCACTTTCTCCTAACATTATGAGGGTACAAGTGGGACACTCTAGCTGTCACCTATTATGTTCTGCTCTCACCATGTGACCAGAGACCAATTATGCCAGGAAAATAATTGACAAAAAGGTAGCCAAGGAATAAAGTAGAGTAACTGGAAGGATATTCAGGCTGGACTGCATTCTCTGGGAAGGGAAGGGAAGGAGAATGGTAGTAAATGCGAGTGACGTAAAAGGTATTAAATTTTATTTTAACAAACAGAAAGGGGGGGTAGCTAGGTGGCACAGTGGATAGAGTGCCGGCCCTGAAGTCAGGAGGACCTGAGTTCAAATCCAGCCTCAGACCAAACACTTGCTACTTACTAGCTGTGTGACCCTGGGCAAGTCACTTAACCCCAACTGCCTTAAAAAAAAAAAAGATGAAGAAGGACAAATGAAAAGGGGCCCTCAGAAGGTACTGAGTTACCTATTATAGGAACTCTTTAAGCAGAGACTGATGAATACTCATTGTGGGTAGGATTCATGATTTGAGCAGGGGACTGGACCAGATTAGCTTTTGGTAGCTTTCCCTTCCTTCCAAACTCCCCACCTAAGATGATGATGTTGATGATGATAATGATAGTGAACTATAATTCCTTATCTATCTGGACCCAGCTATCTAGTAACCTCATCTATCAGACCGACAATAACTTGAAACTAGGGAGCAACAGACCTTGGGCAATCAAAACAAATGACACCACGTACATTCATCAAAGCCCATGAACTACTCATTTTCTGTACACAGCTAACAGACCATGTCTGTTTTCCAAGTCCACAGTAGATGAACAGTAGCACCTTAAGCACAATGAGGTGGGATGCACACTGACGGAATCAAGAGAGAACTGCAGACACTGATCTAGAAACAGAAAGGCATAAGAACTCAAAGACTTAAATACACTATCCCATAGCCCTAAATACTTTCAGGCCTGAAGAAATAACTATATACTATGATACAATCATACTACAACATCACATACCATAATATAATAATCAATGCTTACAGTGAAGACAGTCATCAAGAGAAAGTTAAATTATTTGAGACAAGGTTCTGTATTTCATGGAAAGAAACAGTCACTATCTGGAAAATTTGACTATCCATAATTCATAACCTACACTTTTTGTAAAGCCACAATAATTAGATTTGCATCACGAACCATCCACTTTCTTCTGCATATGAAAAAAGTTTTAATAAATCCTCAGAAAACTGCAGTAACCATCAATCTCTTATTCAAACTACATTCTTTTAAACAAATAAACTTACTTCTTCCCACCTCAAAAATTCTCTGGCTGTGTTGTAGTACAATGAACAAAATACCAAATATGGGTTGTCAAGAGAATTTCAAACATCCAAGACCACAAAATTTTCTCTGTTTTAAGTGCCAGCCCAGTGGTGGACAAAATGTTACCACAGAATATCCATCAAATTCTGTCCTTATTTTTAAAAGCCACATAACAATGTAGTTCTGAGGCTTCTCCCTTACTGCTGACAGAGCATATCCACTGTCACCATAAAACATTTCATAGGAAAAAAACCAAAAATACTTCATAGAAGGCCTTCATATTCATTTCTGCAAGTATTTTTAAATGGACAATATACATCATAGGACAGAAATATTTAATGTCAATAAGATAAACACATAAGCAATAAACACTAGTCATTTCCCCCGCCATTTCCAAATTGAACCATCCTTTCTTTAAAAGACTGAAGCAAAAACATCCAAACAGCGACTGTATCTGTCAGCTCTCGGTCCTGGTGGTCCCCCATTTCTCTGATCTAAAGTAGTAAAGAATTTCCATTATTTCTTCTCCGGGACTCTCTTTGGTTCTTGCATTACTCAGAGTTCGGCTTCTTTTTTAGTCATCTTTTCATTTGCATGGAACTGTCATTGTGTAAACTGCTCTCTGCGTTCTACTTATTTTCCTATGTATCATTTCATATATTTTCCGGTTTCACCGAATTCCTCCTATTTGCTGTTGTTTTATGAATCGCATTTCATCATATTTACATGCCATAGCTTGTCAGCTATTCTGTACTGATGAGCACCCACTTTGTTTGCAGTTTTTTGCCACTACAAAGACTGCTGCTAGGAATATTTGGTACATACCGGACCTCTGCTTATGTCTTTGACAGATGGGAGAAGGGGGTGGCAGTGCAATATGCTCATTAGTAGAACAGCAGGTCAAAGGGTATGGACAGTTTCGTCACTTTGCTTTCAGTATTCCAAATTGAAATTCAGAAGAGCTGGAGCATTTCACAATTCTACCAACAGTAGTATATCACCGAGTTTGCTTTTCCACAGCCCCTCCAACCATGAATGTATCACCTTTTGTCATCTTTGCCAATTTGCTTGAACAAAAGTAAGTTGTGAGATAAAATTTTAAGTTTTTGTTCATACCAATCAATCAATCAAACATTTTTAAAAAGTGTCTACTATATGTTAGATACTGGGGATACAAG